GAGTCTTTTTTACCTACTCCTAAAAATAGCAAAAACCTCTTTGAACCTTTTAAATAATTTAACATTATAAAGTATTTTTTTAATGAATTTCACAAAATTAGGGTCATTGTCACATTGAATGTAATTCTTTTTTTTTTCCCTTACAACGTCGTGACTAACATTTGTTGCTTCATCAATGAATCAGGCGTCCAAATTGGGACATGGATCCCACCGTCATAAAATCTAATTGTTTTTACTCAAAAAAATAAAAGAAATTAATATTTCAAAGAAAAACAAATCGACAGATATTCATTTGAGAAGCGGAGTGCAAAAATTGAATCGGGCAAAATTTGCAACACCAAAATCCGCCGTACGAATTGTTTTGAGTTATATGTTGTTATTTCAATTGCTTTTTTCCTGTGTTTTAAAAACCATATGAAATCGTAAATTTAGTTTGAGGTATTGATAAGAATTATATTTGATTTGATTTAGGTTTAATTTCACTTATTATTTTACATGTCAAATTGCATTATATGCTTTTTTTATTAAAAAAACTAATTTTTTATATTATAAGTTATTTTTCACGAATTCACCACCCTAAGTAATGTAAATAAAGTGAACTTCGGTGAACGGTTTTCAACAAAAAAAATCAAAAATAAATTTTATTGATATTTTTTAATATATATATATATATATATATATGAGTTCCTTCTAAATGGAAGAGACCTCTTCTATTTTTTTTAAGTATTATAGTAAATAGTATAAAGCACTCTATTACAGTAAACTAATTCAAGTTGAACAATAATATAATTTTTTAAAAAATTAATCTTTTAACCCTTTATATTTTTAAAATTAATTGATATTCTCTTAAATTTAGAGTATTTTAATGAAAGAACTAAATCCATTTGCGCATGATTGGTTACCACATGTCTGCTCAATCCTCTAAAGTGTATGATTCCAATTGATGCCACCTGTCAACTTGCTAATTACACATAATCAGGAGTGCGCCAATTTGTTAGACGTCGAGAAGACTATAAACTTTTGGAAGAATGAGAGTTAAGTCTAAAAAAAAATAAATTAAATCAATTAATCATAATTAGATTCTTGATACAAATTTATAAAAATGAATAATAAAGTTTACACACATGAATCTAAATAACAATTTAATGATTGTATTTAAAATCGAAACACCTTGTTTATAATTAAAATTTTTAAAATTATAATTGTGTAAATCAATATTTTCAACTTATTTTTTTAAAAAAATTTGTCAAAAACCAAACTATTTCTTCCCCTTTTTTATGAAAAAAAGTTTAAGTGAATTGAGTTTTAAAGGCTTACCATTGTTAGGACATTCTTTCAAACTCCAAAAGCACTTATAAATATACTTATAGATATCTACAATGTGATTTGATCCCATAATTTTGTGAGTTATGAGTCAAATCTTTATTAGTTGGGCTAAACTTTGTTATTTTAACCAATTTGTTTATGAAATACCCTCTTTTCTCTCTCTCCCTCCTCCTCCTCCTCTCTCTAAAGTCCAAACAAACCAATACCATCCTGTGGATGAAACCATGCTGGACACTGACTAATGTTGATTTGCTTCAATTTATGTTCTCTCTCTATTTTTGGAGTGTATTTTGGGTTGGATTTATTGTTTAGGTTTTTATAAACATTTTTTGTTATATTAAAAAAAAAAGGATTGCAGAACACAGCCCAAGTCCAGAATTTCGAGTCCTTTGGACCTTGGCCGAAAAAGGTCCTTTAGACCAAAAGCCCATTCTAAAACAAATTATCATCAATGTGCCAATAAATAAGATGATAATCAAATTAATCCAAACATTTCTGAAAATTCTCACTATTTATTCCTTGTCTTTTGTTTGGTTAGAACCTAGAAGTGAATGAATGGAAGTTTCTAATGACTTCGACTTAAAAAATCGATGAGTCGTATGATAAAATTTTAATAAAAAGAATATGAAAATTAAATGAACAAGGGAAATTAATTAAAATCTTTTCAACCCTATTTCATCATTTTTTTAAAAAAATTGAATCATTAGAATTTTTTCTTCCTTTCTCTCTATTTTCCTTCAACCATACAAACCCTCATGCTATGCTTTGCTTACAAGAGAAAATAAGATGACGAGAAAATGTGAAAGAAAAGAAAATGAAAAGAAGAGTAAAGTGGGGGGATATAATTTTTTTTTTCTCTATACTTGGTTGAGTGAGAGAAAATAGGAAGAACAAAAATTGTTAATTTCATATGAATAATAATATTATTATTTATAGAAAATATTTATATATAATAAAATTTAATATTTGAAGATATTATTTATATAATTTTTATTATATATTATTGATTAAATAAAAATATAATTGTCAATTCTTTTATTTGATGTAATAAATATTTTTTCCAATTTTAATTTTTATTTCTTAAATTATTAAATTTTTAACAATCTAAATTTAAAGTTGAGGAAAATTACTAAATTAGAATAAAAATTGAGGGAGGTAACAAGAAGGAAATGAAAAGACTCATAAATTTGGAAATTGAATTTTCTCTTCAAAATATCTTTATATTTAAAAAGAAAAGTTGGACACAAAAATATGAGTCTCACATGTTATTTTTCTCTTAACTTTATTTCCTTCTCATTTTTCTCTTCAGCCAAACGAGATAATATCTCTTTTTTTTTTTTTCTCTACTTTTTGAAAGTCCACTCGAAGGTGGATTGGGCTTTATAAAAAAAATTTAGATTATAATAAAATTAAAGAGATGAATTTAGAATGATACCATCAATCATAATAAAAAGTAAGAAAAGAAGTTTGCATAGATATTTGTCTGGTTCAACTCTAACCATTTAAGCCATACTTAGTCCTCACATATCATTTTAAATTTTCTTCACTAACTCCACTAAGATTAATTTAAATTCTTGGCAGCCTCAATACAATTTTATACTCACGCTAATGTTGAATCACTCTTCTTATAAAGGGAATGATATATCCCTTTTAAATTTCTCGAGTTTAAATACTCTATTTTGAAAAAAAAAAATAGATGTGAATAGAGTAAGTTTAAAATTGAATTACTTCTATCAAATATTTTCTTTAAAGTTAATATATAATCAATGAAGTTTACTTGTAATGAATACAAACTTAAAAATTTGTATGTTTGTATGTGTTCTTATTCATCTTCTTATGAAATGCTTCAATTTATAGTTGAGCTCTATAAATGATCCATTAAACTTATGAATATAGCTGTTATAATCATTGTTTTCCCTCTTTTGAACTTTTTCCGAAACGAGGCAATAAAATAGTACTTTATGGTAGAGTTTTCTCTCTTACAGCAAGTAAGAAAAGTAATGTCTCTTTGCATTAAATGTTTTAACAAAGTAAGTGAGAAATTATTTTAAAAGAGTGAAGCTATTTAAGAATAAAGATTTCTAGAATAAGATTAATAAGTGTTTAATCCAATACAAAATTGTATTTAGAATGATTTTAGGAAGATTAAATAGCCAACACCCAACACAATACTCATAAAGTGAAAGAAAAGGAATAGAGAGAGTTTTGAAATTGCTATGTGACAAATGCAAAAAACAGAGCATGATTCTTCGTGCTTGTTTCAAAATAAGACATCTTATTTCAAAATAATAAAGAACAACTCAACAAAAATATAGAGAGGGCTCTTTCAAAGTAAGGAACGCATATCAAAAGATGTTTATGCATATGTTGATCTAGAAGTCTTTATTCGAGAATAAGAGAAGTATTGCCAAATAAGTTATTCCTAAATAAGCTATTTTTGAATAAGTTATTTTCAAATAAGCTATTCTTAAATAAGTTATTTTTGAATAAGATATTATGAAAGACTTATCGAGAATGGATTTAAAGGAAAGCCACTATTCTTGAATAATAATAGCCCAGATAAGCTATTTCTGAATAAGTAAAAGAGTGGGTAAATGGGAACAAGAGACACACTTAAGAATAAGCTATTTCAGAATAAAATTGTTATTCCAAAATAAGGACCGTTTTACATAAAAAATTACAAAGGCTCTCAGATTTTTATTTTTGATTCTAAGATCAATTAAGATACCTTTCAAGCAATATCTAGAGTCCTTAAGAAGTTAAGATCAAGTTAAATACTTAATTTTTAGAAAAAAAAACGCTTTAAGAAAAAATATGAGAGGTATTTAGGTGTTTCTTGACTATTTAAAAATAAGACACTTATTTAAAATAAAAGTGCCTATTAAGAATGAAACACAAGAGTCAGAATATAATACAAAGAGACTCAATTCCTTTACAAACTATTAATTTTTAAATAATAAACCTGTAAAATATAAATTTTTTCATTTTACAATCGTCAAAACCAATGTTTAACATTTTTTCACTTTTCTAAAATTGCCAAACATAAGGCTATTAAAGTTGTTGACTTGATCCAACATAAAACTTGAGGAGATTCTTAATTGAATTCATGTAAACGTTTTGTTGCGTTCTTCATGGACATTCGAATGTAAACATTACTCCCTTTATTAAAAAATAAGGTATTTTAATTAAATTTCACTCTTTAATAAAATAATTACTCACTTTCAAACTCTATATTTTTATATTTAATCTTATTAAATATTTTATAATAAATATAAAGTCACTATCAATAGAAACATTTAAAAAAAATAATAATTACACCTTTAAAGACTAAAATATCATATATTTTTAATATCTAACTTTTTAAAAAATACGTTATATTTTTTAAGAGATGGCATGTTAACATACTACATCACATGAAATTATGGGTTACATGTTTTGTACTTTATGAATAATTTAACTCGGTATAGATTTTTATATTTTATACTAAAACTTATATTAACATTGTCATTAATTTATTTCTGAGAAGGTTGTTGATCCAATAGTTTAAATACTTTTAATGATAACTTTGTTAAAAATTCATAATCCTAATACAAAGCATGTATTAATTGATTTATAATTAATAATTAATAATTATCTCTTGACTATTGCATCGCCCAAGGAAATCTTTGATGATGGCGGATTGGCATTGCTTTGTTCAGTCCACTGTTTCGGCTGGCCTAATCACACAATCCATTCATCTCTTTCGCAGATCAGCTCTGCGGTCAAGAGCGTCCTTCTTCTCAATACAATGAATCTTCAAGCTATTCCTTTCATTTCTTTTGTCGAAGTCGAATTAGCACACAAAATTCCACTCTCACGCTCCAACTTCCAGATCCAAAAATGTCAGCTCCTTCGCCGCCAATCTTCACTTGCTAGAACAGAAAGCCATCTCCGTTCAGTTGGCAGTCTCTGAACTCTGTTGCATGTTTGTCTCTGCTATTTAACTCTCATCAAAAGTCACGTTTTTGATTTGGTATAGTTGCTCTCTTTAGATACCTGTAGCGATTTCTCAGTTTTCTTGTTATTTTCTCTCATCATTGATTCATGAAATGTGCTATCAGCCAGACCCTATGCCAATGGGTAGTGGGAGTGGGAATAAGCTGGACAGTGTGTGGGGCCCGGCGGATTTGCTGATGTTTGAGTTTGGTCATAAAGTTTCTTTATTTGCCAATTTTACTTCTCGCACCTGCGTGGGAGCTCCATTGAGTTACTGAATGTGAAACAGGGTTATACTTGGTTTAATCGAAAGGACTAAATTGAAGTGAAAAGTTGTAATTCGTTATTGATGGTGGTTGAGTGACATTAAATTTTGGGGATTTCTGTTGGCACTACCGCACTGGTTTCTTAACAAGACGACATCAATATTTTCTTCGATAATAATTATTACATTGTTGTGCTTTGTAGGGAATGATATGCTTTTCTGTTTCAAATGGATTTTGCAATAATAATTTCGGTGGAAGGATGTAATGCTATTGTCTCTGATCTGTTGCTTTGATGGCTTTATGTGGAACCAAGACAACTTTACTATCGCGCAATAATATGTTACTATTCTAGGTTGGGATTTGGTGAGAAATCCAAGTGTCTAAGGATGAGTTTGCTAGTGATTTGGGCGTGAACTCCTGTGAAACTTGATCATAAACATGTGAATATATTGGATGGATTTGTAAATATTATCCTTTCTTGCTCAATGTTGAATATCATTGAATGAATTTTATTTGCATCAGGAGTCCTAAATAAAGTTAAGAGATGCTTTGGGTTCTTTTCGCTTAATTGTGCGGCATGGCAATCTGTTTTCCCTTTGGATTACAAGATGGATTTGTTTTCGTGAGCTGGGGATTCTTTTGTTGTTGTTTTTTTTTTTTTGGGTAATGTAATGATATAGGTAAAGCAACTGTGATGAAAGCATTATTTTTGCTACCTCCTGTAGTTATGTTATTTGCTATTAGCTGATTTGAAGTTTAATTTTTGTTATTTCCTTGATGCTTAGATTAATTGATGAACCACACCAATCTTTATAATCTATTGAGCTATATATTGATTGATAGTACCTGGTACCGCATTGGATGCTGCAGAAAGGGCTTGGTGAAGTGTAAAATAATCCTAGTGTTTGCTCTTTAAGGAATTTACTTGGCTGATTATTCTGATTCCTGAATTAGAACTTAGGAGATTGAATAGCTTATTGCTAATCCTATCAAATTCTGCTCAGTTATCTTCTCTCATATGAACATTTCTTGCTGATGCAATGTTACGTGGTTTCACTGTAGCTCAGAGGACCCTTGATTCAGCAAAGCAAGCTTTCCCTCTTTTTGAGGGAAGACAAAAACAGGCATGCACAACTCATATTTTAGCTCCACGATATATGCAATTAGGAGTAAACATTCCTTCTCTTTATCCTTCAATGATTACTCAAACTTGTCGTATGAAAGATTTGATAGGGTCCCATCACACCGCTCATCATTTTGTGGTTGTTGTGATTGCTGTGCACTCTTCACCTGTAGAGTACCCCTGAACCCTAGTCTTCTATTTGGGTTGAGACAATCCACTTTACTTCAATTATCGGCGTCAAGAAGGTTGATTTTGGGTGGTAGAGACCCATATTTCTCCCAGCTTGCAGCTTATGGTCTCCATAGAGATTGTTATGAGTTTGATTGCTCATTCAGTGAGAGAAGTGTTCCTAACAGAAGTAAGAGGAGAATATATCAAAGGTGTTTTTGCACAGTTTCGGAGAAAGAGAGTGAAACTAACCATTCTTTTGGTTCCGATGATGCTGAATCAGTTCTCAACTTACTGAGTGAGGAAGCAGATGGAAATTTTACTGGTACGGGTGGAAAGAATGTATCTTCATTTAAGAAGTTGGATACAGAGAAGAAAAGGAAAAATGGAAGTAGAGAGAGAAATCTGAATTTAGGTAAGCAAGAAGTGAAGAAGGGAAATCTGAAGCACCCGGAGACCTTGACAGTAGACTTGAAGAAAGAGCACAAAAAGCACAATGAAGAAAAGAAAGCTGTTGCAAAAGGTGAATGCCATGGGAAACGAAGAGATTTTTCTAGTTGCTCATCTTATTATTCCTTTTCATCTTCAGGAGATATTGGTAGTGATCTGGAAGTTGAAGAGAAGCATGAGGAGGACAAAACATGTCATGTGGAGGAACAAATGAGGGAAGAATTCAACAGGCAAAGAAATGACTCAGAGAAGCTGGAGGGACTTTCAAACCAGGAAAGAACTACATTTCGTGCTGATATTGATTGCAGTCTAAGAAAGAAGTCTGAGAAGAAGCTGATGAAGGTAACAGAAGAGATAGAGTCAGGGAAAGAACCCCAAGGTATGCATCCAAGAGTGTCTAGGAGGCATGAATCTGGTTATGGGAAAGCCACCATATCCCACAAGCAATTTGAAAATGAGGATGATACTTCATCTTTGATTAGAAGTTCACATAAGAAAGGAAGAGAGGACCATATTCAAACTGAAAACAGAAGAAGGTATCAATCTTCAGAAATAGGAGAGAATGGTGGTCCTGAAGCTGAAAATTCTTCAAAATTGCAAAACACATTTGGTGGCAGGGAAGGGAACCTAGAGATATCAGGAAAACTCTTCCAGGAAAAAAATGATGAACGAAAAAGTTTTGTTGGCTCTAGCGCTAGAAAGGATGTGCTGAGTAGGAATTACCAGAAAAACATTGAAAAGTCAAAATTGAAGATTCAAAAAGTATGTTGAATACTAGGATAAAGAGCCTTGAAGAGGACAAAACTTCAATTCATAGTTTGGTTGGGAATATGGAGGAGCGTCAATACCAAAAAGGGGACAAAATCATTACACAAGTTGAAGGGAGAAGAAAATTTCAACTATCTGAATTATCGCCAGTCCAGGAGAGTAATGTTGAAACTGCCTCCACATTGAAGTCTAGTAATAGAATAAAGAACCAGGAAGAGACGTTAAACTTGTATTTGGATGTCAAAGGGATACAACCCGGAACAGATACAAGGTCACCTCATAGTAGGAAACAATCTGAACTTGTACGCTCTGTTTCAGAAGTTCATGCCAGTGATGAAAAGCTAGTTTCAAGATCTCAAAGAGTTTGTGATGAGGTAAGGTTGATAAAAAATAGTAACTTGACATCAGTTGTTAACACAAGAGAAAGTTATTGCCAGACTGATAAAAGAATTACGCAGTTCAATTCAAGCAGCAAGGCCCATCCACACACATGCCAATCAATCTCAGATGAAAATATCTCAAAAGAAGCTTGCAGCTCTCAAGAATCATTGAACTTAGTTTCTGAGGGTAGAAAACAATATGTTATATTGGTAGAAGGTGGTGAAAGTAGTTCAGATGCAGTGTTCATTCCTTCCTCATCTCAATTGATGAGAAGAGGCTTTGCCGGTGATGAACTCAACCCCAGAACTTCAATCCCAGAGGTCTGCCCCAATACTTCAGAAAGTGGCTCATCTGTCTTGTGTACCAATTCAGGAGGAATTCTAGCTTTGCGATATGAACCATGTTCTACATATGGAAGTAGTCAGGTTTATAGTGACCCTTCAAATATTATAGCCCCTGAGGATGCTCTGGCTTCAGCATATCGCTTAGAGGAATCCTCCAAACAGATTGTGGATGAGTTTGTTCAGAAGGCCAGGCATGAAGTCACAAATGAGACACAAGAAATGGAAATTACTGGAACCAAATTGTCCACTGAAGATGAGAAGAATCAGATTTACAGTGGGGGGCAGCAGGGTACTCAAAAAGTCTCTAAGTCAAGGGAGCGTGATTCAAGTCGCTCCTCTGGTTTCTCTGGGGCCAAAGGACCTTCTGATGAGATGTGGGATGAACCAGAATCATCTATTAAGCAAAGTCCACCGGCTGAAGAAGCAGAGGCCAGTCTTGTGACAGAGAACTCAATTGTCAAGAGAACAGGTAGGACCCTATGGGGAATTATTTCAGATATTGTTCGACTATGGTGGCATTCACGTGCTGATGCCTCCACTTCAGCTGCAAGATCAGGTGAAAGAAACTCATTAAACAAGTCTGATAGTGACACATGGTTTTCTGGCCAGGAGCATGAAGAAACCAGTAAAAGTAAAGTAACAGAGGAAAGAACAAGCGTGCAATCACAAGCTACAACTTCTGACCGATATCAACCTCAAAAATCTAATGTACAAAGTGAGGGAGATGTGTTTGAAACTTTGAAATTGAGGGACAAAGGAGAACATCTCGAGGTTGGTACGTCATCTTCTCCAAATGAGGTGGGGAGTGGATCGACGTCTATAGGCATCTCCTTTGCTTCTGGAGAGGAAAATGCTAGTTGGACTGAAGATGGAAAGGATTTGCAAATCAGTACATCAGGTGCTGAAACCATGGAATCATCAACAGTTCTACCTGCTAGGCCTCCTTTTGTAGAAGAAATTGTAAATACTGGTAGAACTGAGTCTCTGTGGTGGATGGAGGATCCCTTTGCTTCAAAACAGACTGAAATATCTGTCACAGCGAAAAAGGATGTGGAATTGAAGCAAAGGAAACTTCAAAGGAACAAGCCAGTCACAAAAGACAGGTTTGATGAGTGGGAAGAAGCTTATAAACTTGAACTTGAGCAACGGAGGATGGACGAGATATTTATGAGGGAAGCACTCGTGGAAGCCAAGAAAGCTGCTGATACATGGGAGGTGCCTGTTGGTGCTGTCCTTGTGCGGGATGGGAAGATTATTTCCCGGGGATGCAACTTGTATGTGTTAAGGAATGTTCTTATCTTTTGTAATTGCCTTAGCATTGTTATTTATATCAGTATATTGTTTCAGGGTGGAAGAGTTACGAGACTCTACAGCTCATGCAGAGATGATTTGTATAAGGGAAGCTTCGAATCTTCTGCGGACATGGAGACTTGCAGTAAGTTTTCAGTGTCAAAGTATAATAGATATTTCAGAATATTTTTTGTGTTTATTATATGTTTCTTCTCCATTATTTTTAATAGTATGGCTAGCTTAAGCTGTGTTGATATCTGTTCCCTAAAATTTTAAATCCTCCCAGTTTGGATTAATCCCACCATCCTTTTATTGATGATACTTAAAGATATCTTATTTTTCGACTGCAGATACCTATTATTATATTTTCCACTTAAAAAATAAGGATGGCTAACTTCTTTGAGGACACAATTTATCCATTTGCAGGGCACTACACTTTATGTTACGCTTGAACCCTGTCCAATGTGTGCTGGTGCCATTCTTCAGGCAAGAATTGATACTCTTGTATGGGGAGCTCCTAATAAGCTTCTTGGTGCTGATGGTAGCTGGGTTAGGTATGCCAAGCACGGACTTCCTCTCTGTACTCTTCATGTGGTTGCAAGGGTTATAAGAGTTTTTATTATTCATCTGCACTTGCCACTCTTTATGGGTATAATATCACAATGCAATTCGGTCTTTACACTTGTTTGATTTCCTTATCATGCATGGTTATATTGTGATGGAACCCTGTTGTTCTAATACATAAAAAATGCAGAAATAACAATGATGAAATAGCAACAGCTCTAGGGAAATGCTGAAGTTTGATATTAATAATTTTAAAAGACTAAATTAGTGTTACAAAATCACTCCACTGATTCAAAACAAACTCTATTCTCTAAAACAACCAAAGCATCCAAACAGAACAATAACACTGCAATGCTATCAAGCATGCCCTTTAGTTTTTGAGAGCTAGTCTCTCCTCCCACTCAAGATACAAAATATGACTTGATTTCTGCTAGGAGACTCCAACCACTAATATAAGTCCAAAAGTAACGCTCACAGTCTCCAATACTACCCTTATAGCCCGGACCTATAGCAACCTTACAGCAACTCTAACTGCTTGTTTCTTTCTCCTTAACGTTAGGAGTCTCAAGGTAAATGCCCTGATCATCAAAAGGGGAGGGTGTCTAGCTGACTTATAAATCACACTCTACTAATATGGCCTCTTGATGTGTGACTCATAACATAGCCCACCCCTCAAGAGTCGGTGTCTGCGATGGCTCACCCTCCACAGCACTACACTCAGCCTCTGGCCGGCCAACCCTTCCGTGTGCAGCCCTTTCCACGAATGGCGACTCTCAGCGAGAGCACTAATGTCACGACCACAAGTCCTTTAGACAGAACTCACCCCTAAAAGGCACCTTGTAAGGGGAAGATGCCCAACTAACTTATAAATCATACTCTACCAATGTGGCCTCTCGATGTGGCATAACATATTGATTATACCTATAATGTAAAGTTTGCTAAATTTTTAAGTACACTATAATATATTTATTGTTTTGGGATTGTGTATTACTGAGTGGTGATAGAACTGTATTGAACATAACAGCTTCGCCTAAAAAATGTGCTCTGTAGGTGGCATTCTTGGTATACACCCGTTGTCAAAATGCTTCGTTCTTGAACCTGCCTACTTATATTTACCCTTTTGATATAACCAAATAACCCAGTTTATCCCTTTTTGCCCTTTCTTATTCCATTATCATCCTTTGATAAATTGATTATGCATTGATCAGATTGTCTTAGTTTTCAATTACGTTGTGTTCACTGTCTTATTTTGGGATGCTAGATTCACTTATACATTAAAAAGTTTCTTGAATAGGCCAATAGAACATGATAGTTCTGGCTAATGATACGTTATGTAGATGACTTTTCTGGATACTAATCCGTTGTCAATGTACTTTGTCGTTGTAGCATTCCTGCCAGTTTGCTTTTTTATCAGAACCATTTATGGTTGTATGTCATAAAATATTCTTTTGATGGGATTTAAGCATGGGATAATTTTCCATTTATTTCCTGACCGGAACTGAATCTTCTTTTGGGAATTGTCTTGAAGCCAAAAAATTTAAGCATCAAAAGTGAGTATTTTCACTGGTGGGACATGCGCAACTTGAACTCTTATATGGTTTTTGCAGTCTTTTTCCTGATGGAGGAGAAAATGGATCAGAAACAAAAGAAAAGCCACCTGCCCCAGTTCATCCTTTTCATCCAAAAATGAACATAAGAAGAGGAGTGTTGGCCTCAGAATGTGCAGAAGTGATGCAGCAATTCTTTCAGCTGAGAAGGAAAAAGAAGAGAGAACCATCGCCACCTCAATCAAGCCAATCATCTCGCCTTCCTACTTCTCACCATCATCCATCCAAACTTCTCCACAAAATGCATGGCATTTTCCACATGATGTTTTGCTTGTAAGATCAGATATGCATAAATATATGTATATATATATTATACACTCCTTCCATTCCTGTTTGGCATCTCAATAAATTGTTCAAGCATGGTATGAGATCATAGTGAAAAGTGATGTATCCAGGATCTCATTAATTCTAGTCGTTGTAACCTCACTCCCACCTTGTTTTTCAATTACAGGGAAGATGATTCTGGAACTGTGTAGAAATATTTAAGGGTTGATGATACTTTAAAGTCACATTAGTGCCTTAGAACATCAGAGATTAACGGAATGATAGAGACAGAGTACTGACATATAGGTCAAATGTAGAAATGGTAGGTAAGATATTGTTTTCAATAATGTAACCTTACTTTAATTCCATTTTTCTTATGTCATCCTATCTTTCCTCTCTCTTCAATCTTTACCCGACATTTTACCTTCTTAACAACAATGCATTGATTCAAAAGTTTGTTTGCGTAAAAACACAAAGAAGCATTACAATCATTTAAACAAAACCTTAGTCATCAAAAACTGCGGCGGTTAGGTGTGGTGGGTACCAATGTCACTTTGATGAATGATTTTATTCTATTTTCATGCGTCTAGGTTATTAATTAAACTGATGTTGCATGCTTCTGAGTTCTGAATTCTGACATGTTTAAAAAAGTTAAAATAAATTAATAATATTGTTCAAATTACATGCTCATCTATACTCAGTCCTTGAGGGTTCTCCCCCCCCCTTTCTTTGGAATAAGGAATCTATTCAAAAATGTATATAACTTTATTGAAGATTACTTCTTTTTTTAAGGAAGAATGACATAGGGAATTAATGATACATAAAACTTATGTACTTAATTTTCTATTTTTAATATATATATATATCAATCAATCATCATAATAAATGAATCTTAATATGTTTATATAATTAACAACAAGAGTTTATTATAAAATAAATAATCTATAAAAGATTCACATATTTTGATTTAACGAGAAACAAATACTTAAAATATATTAAGCATGTAAAGTTAAGTATATAAGTTTTTCTAACTACTAATAATTAGATTCTCAACAATTTTTTAGAAAGAAACAAGTTGTAAATAACAATTCAAATAACTGCAAATTCAAGAGTTTTAATTATATATAAAATATTTAAATTCTAAATGTAACTTTAAGTTTGCAATTAAAATTCTCGTTTACAACTATGTAAATTAATATTTATAAGTTATTTTTCAAAATTTTTTTATCATAACCTAACTACCATTAATTATCTCTTTTGAAACTTTATTATCATTCTTCCTCTTTTTTTTTTTTTTCATCAAATGTGATTTGCTTAAAATTTGGAAGTTTTTCAACAAAGGATATAAAATTGAAAGACAAATTGATTAATTTCAGAAGAACCCTGTTGTCGGAACAAAATTTTAGTTGATTTGAGAAGAAAACAGTTCATGGTACAACACGTCAATTTTCAAACCTACATTATCAGGTCATTAGTAGAAATGTCAAATATCACTGCTCTATGAAGGCTACATCTCTCCTTCTGCCAGCAAATGACCCTCACAAGAAGTCACAACCTTCCAAAGCTATTCCTTTCTCTTCTTCTTCAGACTCCATAAATAACTAACAACCCTCCTTCCTGTTTCCACCATCCTTCTTCTCCTACAATGGCTGCTTCTGCAACATTCTCAGTTTTCTTATTAGCTCTTGCTTGCCTCTCATTCACTTCATTACCTTGTCTCAATGCTCAATCACCAGCTTCTTCACCTTCCTCACCCACATTGCCCACTCCACAACCTCCAGCTGCAGCTGCAACTCCTCCTCCTACTACCACCACACAGCCGCCGGCAACTCCTCCTCCGGTGACATCACCAGCTCCGAAGGCAGCTGCTCCGGCTTTACCCCCAGCAACCCCACCGCCTCAGACTCCACCCCCAGCAACCCCACCACCAGCTACTCCACCACCTGTCTCACCTCCCACAGTGCCTCCACCAGCTCCAACTTCACCTCCACCACCAACGGTGGCTCCTACACCAGCCCAAACACCTCCTCCGGCGCCGGTTCCGGTTAAGGCACCGGCTCCAGCACCGGTGAAGCCAGCACCTGTTCCTGCACCTTCACTGCCACCACCAATTCCAGCTCCAACGCCAGTGATAGAGACACCAGCACCTGCTCCTTCTAAACACAAGAGAAGAAGACATAGACACAAGCACAGACATCAAGCGCCGGCGCCGGCTCCAGCAGTCGCCCAAAGCCCGCCGGCCCCACCATCCAAGGCAACAGCAGAGGATACTCTAGTTACACCAGCTCCATCCCCTAGTCTAAATCTGGTAATGTCTTGCTTACTCTTTGATCATTTAAACATTTCCATTACTTGTTTTCTTCATTGTTTATGAAAATTAATCATATTTTTCTATGTTTTGTTTCACAGAATGGGGCATCATCGTACCTGCATCAGGGAAGAAAGTTTGCGGTGTCTGGAGCTGCTATTGCCATTTTGATAGGCATTCTGATATAGTGAGAATGGATTCACTTACAGAAATTAAGTTGTTTGGTTTGCGAAGTGATCAATCATTTTCTCATGTATAGAGATGAATAATGAGCTATTATTACACCTATTTGGCATTCTTTCTTTCTCTCTTTATCGTATCCATTTGTAACTTGGGTTCCACATTTTAATGAATACGAATTTTTGAATCAGTTAGTTGAACAAAACTATGCAGAAATGTAAATAACAGTGTTCATGATCATCAGATCAAAGTCGATCTCATATTCTGTGAACCGACGTTACGTTTCTTTACATGATAATCAACGAGTGGATCTGTAAGTGGAGGTGGAAAAGCAGTGAGAGATGATCATTATCAATAATTATACCAAGAAGAATCATCAAATGTACCCAAGATAAAAAAGCTTTTCTTATTTTTTTTTAAATACCACTTCAGGTCCCTATACTTTAATTAGATTTTATTTTTAGCCCCCTGTAATTTGTTTTCATGGTTTTTTATCCCTTTTATTTACTCTGTTTACAATGTTAATCCTTTTGTTAAAAAAAAAAAAAAAACTCAAAAGAACCCTGCACTGTCCAAACAATGCTAATTTTGCTGAGAGCCAACGCCTTTATGTTCCTTTTTTTTTTTTTGAATGAGCCTTCATGTTCCTTTGATGCTCTTCTTCTCCCTCTAACATGTGGGTTGTCATTTTAAGATAGTGATATTCCATATTCTGTTTCTTTAATCATATCAAATTCTTAATCAGACAAATTTATAATTTTTTTCTCGGTCAGCTTCCTAGTTATCTAATGGGTTTAACGGGGTGAAGGTCATCTTCACAAAATTAACACTGGTTGAGCCATCTCATGAGGGACAGATATTTTCGATGGAGAAATTAAAAAAGGATATGAAATTATGAAAGTAAACTACAGAGACCAAAAACAACATACAGTTAAAATATAGGGGCTTGGAGTGATATTTGGTCTTTTTTTAAAGGCAAATAGTTAATGGATTCAAATGCAGTTGGAAAATAATTGCGTGTCTTGGAACTTGAAGCTTTTTGAAACACACTCGTGTATATTAATTAGTTTTTTACGTTACAATATAAATATAAGTACATGAGCCTTGTGTCCACATGTTATTTTACCTGCAGAATCTGATGAAAGGAAGGTTGGCTCAAGAGAGGAAAATAGATACTCAAAGCTAACTTTATTATTTTATAATTTATACTGCTGCCATTGATTATTATTATTATTTTTAAAGATGTGTTGCTAATCATTCACGTCATGTATTCACATTTTATGTTGAAAAAACAAACTAATTTAATGGTATGAATCTAAATGGGGTAATAAAATTTGTATTTTTGTTCATGATTATCCTTCAAAAAGTATTAGATGATCAATTGATGTTAGTTAAAATCTAACGTGTTTATGTTTGGAAAGTGCGTTAATACAAGCGTTGGATAATAATTTATTTATTTAAAACTTTGAAGAAAAGTCTTCACTTAGATATGTTTCTCATGAATAATAGACAAGGACACAAGTTCTGTTGTTTTGTCTCATCACAAATCGGTCATGAATTGCAAGCAAAGCCACATTCTTTGTTGCTTAGTTTTTAAGCTTTTCTTTCTGTTTTTTCCCCCTTTCATCCCTTTCAATTGTATCAATAAAAACATATATGGCACAAAGAGTCACAAACTGTAAATAGTATTAGTATAATTCATCTTAGGTGTTGTCTGATTTTGTTTTCATTTTTCATTTTAAACTATTTTGTAAACCACTTTCTAAAAATTGTTTTTTTGAAAAAAATAAAAATAAAAATAAAATATATTTAATTTTATTAAATTGAAAACAATTTTAAAGTCAAAAAATTGATCAATAGTAGTGAATGCTAGTGATTAATGGTGATGACCTATAATATTAGTTGACCATAAGCAATTGTAATTTTCAACAGTCAAATGTAATTGTTTTAAAAACAAAAAAAAAACCTGAAAAATAGCTCTGAGATTTTTTTTAATTTTTTGTTCTAAAAACGAAAAATAAAATAAGAACACTCTTAGAAATATTTAAATTTAAAATACTTATCCAAACCTTTTTTTTTTTTTTTTACAAACAGAAGTAAATTTTGAAAACACAAAATCAAACGAGCTGACCAGGCAAAGAAGTGCAATCAACCTCCTTTCATGATAATGACGGGGTTTCACATAATGTTCTAAACTTCCAATAATTAAGTTATAAAAAAAATCATACTTTCTAATGACATTGGATTTACTTAGTTATAGGAAAACCAAACTGGCAAGCATGTGATGTGTAGTTAAATATACTATGTTCAAATCTTATACTTAAGACCCTGCCACAAGAATTTTCCTGTGTGAATACTAGGTAATATATGGGAATAAGGAATAGTAAAGGGTAATTACGAGAGTTAGGTGGAAAAAGGGTAATTTAGGAATATGCTAAATATCTCTATAAATAAGATCTAAAAGATGTAATGGGGTCTTGTGAGTCAAATTACTATTTCTTAGTCTCTATTTCTCTTTTACCTCTATCACTATGTTCCAGATGTGGATATGTTATGTCCTTGACCAGATTATATGGTCAGCTTAGCACTAAGCTCTGTCATATTTTGTAGTTCAAAACTATACATTCATATTCTGTCACTTACCATTTTTAACTTATTTACCAGAAAAATAATGCATCAGCATGAATGGGGAAAAAACAGAATGGAAGAAAGAAAGCATTAGGAGGAAATAAAGTGGAACTGAACTTTCTCAGAAATTTTCTATTCAATGTCCTAGAAAAATTGTGTACAGATTGGAGAATTTCTTAGGTACTACTAACTGACTTTATAACAGAGTCAATAAAAACTCATTCAAGTTGGTGTTTCAGATGGTGCGGTGTTCACACCTGCTTTAGTGAATTTTTATGGCTCCTTGCACCATCTGATTACAACCTTATGAATCCTAAGAATGATGAAATCAACAAATCTCCCAGCGCAGGGGGACAAAATAATTCAGCAAGTTGGTCTGTGTTACATCAACTTGAAGAAGAATGAGGACAAGTACTAACTCTCTGTACTGAATGAATGGAATCAGATTCTTCAGCAACACATATGCGCCAATTTGCATTGTTATGTTTATTGTTATTACTTTTAGTCTTCCTCATCCACTTCATGAAATGGAAGTGGCACTGTCTTCACTGCTCTAAACTTGCCAGCGTTGTTCAGATGCTCATTCTCCAACCTGAACCATTCAAAGTTTTATTATTGTATTTTTGCTTGTTAGACCAAACTTCATATGATTGAATGTGACACAGAAATTTTCCGATGAACCAGACAAATTAGTGATGTTTAGACAAGTGAAGGTCACCTGTAGAAATTCCATAGTCCTCGTCTGATGACCTCAAGAGACGCTAAAAAGAAGCTTGTTACTCGATAATCGACATTCTCAAAACTCGAATGGACAACAGTTTGCAACCAGGCAAGCCTCAGAATAAGGTTTAGTCCCTGCATAAATTTCCACCAAAGATTTCTCATGGTTATGATCAGATTTAGGAGGGCCCGGGATTGTAACATGAAAAGAAATCATAACCTGTTGTTTCCCTTAATGTCTAATAAACCATAGAAAGACAACATCAAATTCTCTGCTGCTATCTTATCTCTTCCTTGCACTAGTTTAAGAATCTCACTTTTAACTTGTATAATGGCTTCTTTGTCAGCATTTATTATTTTGACTAGAATATTTTTATTCTCCACTAAGTAGCATTTTTATCTTCAACTTCTAATTTCTTGGACTAAGGATCATAAGCTGACTAGTCCAAAGCTTTTCCAAGGACATGTTAAGAAATATTAAAGACAAATCAAACTCTTTTTTTCTTAGTTAATTTTGACAAAGACGAACTTGAACTTGAACTCGAACTCGAACTCTAAACCTTCAGGCCCCAGGCTCTTTTAGTATAGCGAGAGAGAGGGGTCTGATAAGTACCATGGATAAGTAGTAAATGAATTTTCGGCGAAGCATTAGTTCATTCCTTAGCCAAGGGTTCTTGGAGTTGAATTGGAGCAAACCCCAGTCTTTTACAAAGTCCCAATATAATTGGTACACAGTGGCTGCACTTGATATGATCACAACAACACATAGCCATCCAACACTTGCATCTTTCTCATAAGCAAATTTAGCAACTGCTGCCAACATTGCTGATACATATTTCCCTAAATTCACTAGGTGGCTTGTCTGTCCTTCATCAAACCATCTCCTAGCACACTGCAAAGAAACAAAACAAAACCAGTAAATCAGTTCTATTCATTTCTAAACTATTATTGGATTCAAATAAACAAAGTCATGTTCATCTTTTACCTGCATAGCCCTCCAGTAATAGGGTAGGAATGAGACTGCATAAGCAAGATCTCTGTAGTGCTTAGCCCTCATGCAGTAGCCATAGTCCTGAGTTTTGTAGCTCCCAGTCATGTAGTAACATGCTATATACTCAAGGTTCCTGAGCATTGGAACCTGTACAGGAAAAAGGTACAATTATCAGAAAGTATATAGTTGGTTTCTTCTACTAAAAGAAAATTAAATTGACGTCTTCTCTTGTATTCTCCATGAAAATAAAACACTACCTGACTACAGAGTTGATCAGCCATGAAGAAATCCAGCATCACAACCTGAAGAGACAATAGAGAAGGAGATAACGCTGTGTTAAACATAATACATGTTAAGGAATGGTATCACTGTTTTATGCAGTATTATGATATTCTAAGAACTAGGAAATACAAAATAAAACGAAGTATGTAGTCCACAAATTTGACTTTATGAAACACATTTTGCTGAGTCTTTTGACAGATCATTGAAGAGTCAGCTGATACAATATTTATACCTAGCAAGTGAAAGCACTTTACCTCGTAAAGTGGTGACAAAACAATGTTCCTTATTACAGAAAGGAAACGGTAACGGCTTGACAGGTAGATAATGTTGAAGGGGCAAACCAGTACTAGTAAGAAGACCTGCAGAGTTATTCAACATAATAAAATCTTAAGCCTTGGCTGCTTCAAGAAAAACAATGTGAAGGTGAAATTTGGCAAAGAAATTACCAGTAAAAGTAGGCCAGGAATAGCTTGAACTTGGGCATAAGAATATCCCTTTGCGAGAAGAGTCAAATGAAGAAACATAACTCCAACCACAGCAGTCATAGCCACAGTACAAATCAAAAACACATCTCTATACTTAAGTTCCTTTGCAGGGGACAGCTCAAAAATGAAGCTGTAGTTTATACGAGTCTTTCTCCAAGCAAATTTGTTGCAACCATATAGGAAAAAGTGCAGAAACATGAGGCTGAACATACTGCAAAAGAGAAACACCAAGTCAAGCTGGTTCCTTTTGATCATATGTAATACAGTTAAAGGTTTAGATAATATAAATGAATTTCCATATATAGCAACGAATATGTTTTACTTACCTAAGTACAGGATAGACAGTTTCCATGTAGACTGAAGTTTGTTGTTCTCTTCGGTACAGTCCAGTTATATGAGCCATTACCACATATCCAGCTAAAAGTGCTAACAGGCATCCGGCAAATAACCCTGATTTCATTTGAAAATTACAGTAAATTACATGTAAATAATATATAAATAAACTTGATTTATACTTTTTTGGTTCATTTCAGTCCTCTCAACAATATATTGTTAAGTTGACTAGTCAACAGAGATAAGTTGCATGAGTTAAAAGTGAAGTTGATAGGATTGCCAAATGTTTACTAGACCCTGAAAAGTAGCATTTATCAGTTTTAACTTTTTCATAGGATTTGATGATATTTGAGGCTGTGATTAGTCACTATAACTGCAACAAAGGGAGGTCTCAGTGGAAGCCAATTAGAGAGGTTGAAATCCTTCACTGTACCTTTTGATGGTCCTTTTATTTCATTCTTTGTACGGTCATAGTGGCTCGTACACCTAGCAGAAAAAGATGGGACCTGTATTTCCCATTCACCTAAAACTAGACAAGTCTTTTGTGAACCTAGTGCCTTAATGGGTCCATTTTGTGTTTCCTTTAAACACTAATGCTCACAAAGCAAACAAAAACAACCCTTAAAAGCTCTCTCCACCAAAATGATTGATCACAAAAGACAAAAATAGAAAAGTGAGGGGGAAACACACCAGATTAAATTATTTCAGTGATCTCTTTTTTGATTTCATTCATTATATAATTTTAAGTATGAAATATCGTTTGGCATGTCAACAAAATTGGTGATTTCCAAATAAGCTAGATAGACACCACAAAAATATTTGGCTTACCAATGAAGAAAGTCACAGCATGAGATTCTCGACGCTGAGTTGGTCTAAGGTATTTCATGGCCTTCCTTCTATCATTTTGGGCAAAGTTTTTCATGAACAAATCCTCAACTTCGTCGGCCAACTTCATCACCTGTCATTTCTGATGCTAATCAGAAAACATAATTGGCTCAAAACTTGAACAAGTGACAGACAAGCAAATCCTTAGGCCATCTTGTGGCTCAGGCATGAACCTTGGGAACATTGGCCACTCGAGGTTGTCGGTGAACTTTCAGGATAACTAGTGGCCAACAACATACTGATTCTTGTCATAATATAGTGCCATAATAACTTTTCATCAGAGTTTGTTTCCATGTTGTGAGTTAAATATCTATGGAAAACTCAAATTGAGGCGTGAGATGATTATCGAGGGACTAAATTGGAAGTCTTAATGACCTATAAGAGATGAAATTAAAAATGCTTTGATTTACCTTGTCTGAGCTGTTGAAATAAGAACTCTCCACCACCTTGAGATAAATGGGAAGAATTTCCTTTTCAGTGACCTGAAAGATTTTTTTTTTTTAAATGTTTACTAATCAATCATATAAACCAAACTTAAAATACTTGAATTTTGAGGCCATCTAATTCACATACCTTGTCAAACTTCTTCAGAATCTTGACAAATGCAAGCATGTTCAGGTTCCTGAAAATCAACATCATGAGAAAGACACAAGATTTTCCCATCTTAAAATTTATTTTCATTGAACAATAAGGTCTATACCAGGCCAATGAAATTAGGCACCGTACCTATAAACTTTGAGGTATCCTAGGCCTTTATAGAGCTCAAGAAGACCTCTTTTGATCATTTTTTCTGCATGATGCAACTTTGTTTTGTTGAGATGAAGCTTATTACCACCATCTGGACCACATTTCCTTGATGACTGGTTCAAATCTTCTCGTACGAGGTAACTAATTGCAGAAAAGGTACGAGAAGGTGTGGTCAAGGGAATGTTTATCCTCACATTGTTGCCTCGGCTGCTAACCATATGGCCAGACATTGTCCTCAGCTTCCCATCTTCTTTATTCATCTGAACTGATTTTCTTGCTTCATCTTTCTCTGAATCATCTGCAGAATTGTCCTGCATTTCCTCCTGCTCTGCTCTGCTCCTGACAGAGTCCTCCTCTGTTCCCAAAAAACACAGCATCAGACGATGTACTATTTTTTCTCATTAATATTTTTTTAAAATGATTTCTCAAGAAATAATTTTTCCCATATTTTTCCTCGACTGAAAGCAATATGAACCAGTTAAATAAATACCCATGTGAAAATAACTCAGAAATCAATCATCTTTGATGCAGGTTACATATACAAAAGCATATAGGTCCACAAATGAAAACAGGGAATGTGACATCTCACCTGCTAGTTCTAAGAAATAGTTCACAAAAAGAAAGAGAAGTTTTATTAAGTATTTACCAGAAGAGAACGTGCATGATATGGACTGGTCTTCCTTGGAGTCTTGTGAAGAGCATGCTTTCTTGTTGAATTCAGATTTGAGCTCAAGGAGAAGGTCCATTTGCTTCTTCAAGGACTCACCTCTGCCAATGAAATCTTCCTCCTTTGTTCTGTAAAACTTATTCACCTTGTTTAGCTGTTGATCTAGACATGCAAAGAATTCTTTAGTAGCATCAGTATCAGCAAATTGCTCAAGCAGTTCTGTCTCATACATGTCTCCCTTACAAGCTGAACCAGCAAGTTTCCGATGAACCTGTTAAAAAAGACCACAACAAGTTCCATCATGACTCAGTTTACACAGAACTTATAGTTGAACAGAATCAATCATGTTCTGGGGGAAATAAAAGCAGTACATGAATTGGTCCATGGTCTCTATTACGTTGGTGATTGCCAAATAGAGAGTAGTTTTTTAGTGATGAAAAGAGGGAAGATTGGCGATTCTTGGGTGTATTGTTGGTATTTTCATTAAGGAGGTGAATTTTCTTGAGGTCCTTCTTGAGTTGCCAGTAATCAACGAAAGCATCTTTCCATTCTGGAATGAGCTGACCGTCAAACTGCCTTGAGAACTTGACCATCTTGTCTGTTGTTTTCTCTTCACAAAGAGTTGGTGAGTGTTGTATCTCTGAGAGAAGTTGTGTGTTTCCTTGTGATGATTGTTCAATGGAAGGCCATGCTGACATTATTTATGGAGCAAGGAAAAAGGCATTTGGTACTGATTCTCGGGAGCACATTCCAAAATATCCTTACAAGCACTTGTAGCATCATCATCCTATGCTTCTCCACTTGGAATTTTGGCAAGGTAAGTGGTGGCTAGCAAGGTTCGCCGGAAAAGTAACCAACCATCCGCCACTGCCACAGCCGGACTATGATTACTTCTCGGCTAACATGGCTGTCATGAAGAAGATTTTGAAATGGTGGTGAATTTAAAGTGGTGGATTGGCTGTGGGGACAAATGTTGCTGTCAAAATGCATGTAGAGAGAAAGGGCCTTTAGTAGCAGTAAGAGCATACTTTGGAAGGCCAAGTGGGATTTTGTGAGATGATTATATTTCTTAAGGTGGATGTGGCCTATAAGTTTTTAAGAGTTTTGATCATTTGTGCAAAGTGAAATTTATTGGCTAAAATCTTCTGCTACCACACAAAAGCTTCCTCCAATTAGACCAGCAAGATTTCCACTAATTCAGGATAAGTAAAAAAGTCTCAATTATTTTCATATTGATCTCCACTCTCCCTCATCAATAATCCCTCCTCTAAATGTGATAATGAGGTATTTTACGCATATTTATATGTTATTTTTTTATATTTACTATTTAATGTGTAAATTTAAAATAAGATTTAATAAAATATCTCATATACAGATTTTGGTGTATTTTCAAGTAAAGGAGACAAAATAGCATGAAAAAATTCCTTAAAATGTAATGCCCAAGGTCAAAGATCAAGGAATCAGGCCTAAAAGAGTTCACCAAGTCGCAAACAAGCTTGGGAAGGACCCATCCACACGCGGACAAAGCTCAACACATGATTTTTGTATGTTTTACATTCATTTGCTCACAGATGAAACTATGTGTATTTCATCTGCGCACAGATAAAATTTCTGGCCGCATGCTAATTAAGAAAAATGCAAAAAAATTAATATTTTAAATCATTTTAAACCAGATATTAGCATATCTAATGAGATAAGGTATGATTTGGATAGATTTTAAACTTATGGGAGTCGAATTTATTATAAATAAACCTCCTTAAAGCCTCTCAACAACATTCAATCTCAAATCTGAAAGCTAGGATGCGTATTAGGAGTCTAGAGGAGTTCTCAGAGTTGGGATTTTTATTTCTTCTCTTATTCTATAAATTCTTTTTATATCTTTTATTGAGATATTTTGTAATAACTATATGAGTTCTTCTAAATTTTCAGTTAAGGTAGGAACTACTTGACTGGAATGGTTTTGCCTTTTTATTTGGTTAAATTATTTTCTTATTGAGCAATAGATTTTGTCTATGAAATTTATTTGCTTGCTTTTATATTTATATCTTTTAAATTACTTTCTTTTTATATAGGTGGCCGCTATATGGTTGTTTTATGGTAGTCTAATGAATTAGAAGGTGAAAAACTTACCTAAACTTAGAGAGATAAATATAAAAAAGCTAAACTAAAAATAATTTAGGGATTGATACTGGTTGAAATCGTAGCCTCGTAATTTAGTTAGAAAGCAGAAAGTGTTTTGAAAAACAAAAAAAATCAAATATTATTTTAGAGAATAGAAAAATAAAATATCTTTTACGTGTTCTAGGATTATTGCTATAGAGAATAAGAAAGAATGTAAAAAAGATATTTGTTTTCATTATTTTTTTAATTCTTAAAACATATTTTACAAAACATCAATTCTCAAAACAATAAACAAGAACAATTTCCAACAAGCCCAAAATGTCTTGTTCCTCTAATCCCCCCCTGATTTTCATTCCTCCATATTTTCTTTTCATTCCAAACAAAGCTTAAATTAGTCAGTTATTTGTCATAAAAATTGAGAAATCTTGACCTGAAAATATACTACTTGGATGCTAAAAAATATTGTGTAATTTTTAACTACTATTTAATGCACTTTAAACCCTCAATTTTCAATCCAAGGCAACCCAAAAAAAAAAAAAATCTGTTCTGATAATTTAGACGCAATCCCTTTTCTGGAGGACTTTGTTCAACCATAGAACTAGAAGTAAGCATAACTAAAATTTTAAAAAAAAAAAGAAGAAGAAGAAAAAGAATTTACTGAGTTCAGTTTATGTAAATCCAGAATAGAGAAAAGTTAAGCCAACCCAATTTTGCATTTGGCGTGACAATTCTTTTATTTTATGCTTGAGAGTTTAGGAAAACAGCAATGTTATACTATTAAGAAAGATGTTTGGTATAGAATCTTTGTACCTTGGGAAATAATAGATTAGGCAGATAAACATTAGGGTTTTGCCATTGCCAACCAAACTTTATAGTACACGGGTTTAATGTGAGAATAATATAAACGGTGTATATAAAAATTAAAAAAAAAAAGTAGTTTGGATCAAAGTATACAATGTTTTTTTTTTTTTGTTGCCAAAACAAGTACACAATATTAGAGGATGGAAAATTTATAGTTATGAGTTAATCTTATCTAAAAACTAGTACTAATAGTAAAGGAGGTTCCATGTTTTTTATTCCTTTGTTCTAAACTCATTGTCTCTGCTCTATTTTTGCACTTGATGGGACTTCTCACATTGTACTCTTAAATAATTAAGAAGCTGACTTATCTTATTTTAAATAAAGTTTTGAATTAAACACGTGACTTTTGAGTTTGAGTTTGTATAAATGTAGATTTTTATTTTTTGGGAAAAATCATCTTTAATTGAACTTGAGAATGCTTGAATCTAACTTAATCAGATAGTTATAAAATCACTAGCACCACAAATATATATACCACCACATCATTTTAAGTAGGAAAAAAAAAAGTGCTGCAAAATAACTTTTTTGTGTATATATATATTTTCTTTGATGGTTCCCTCATGCAGAGCAGAGGCAAAAGGAATGAATTTTTTCAAGGGGTGCTCAGCTTACAGAACTTTTGATGCCTTCAAGGGATTTAATTAAACAGATCACCAGTAGGTAAAGTGAGAAGTTTTCTATTCTTTTTATTCCCTTGCTAAAACAAAAATTTAGATGAGTCGTGTTCTAAAAATTTTTCAAAAGTCAAGGTATGCTTCTGAGTTCAAAAAACATTTAAAGATGTATATATTTATAGATATTCACTATTTAGGATTTGAACCTATAATTTTGTAACTATGAATCAAATTTTCACTAACTGGGCCAACATTTGTTTACCAAGTTTTCTTTTACTTCTTGACCATTTGTGCCAATTCATATTGACATGTCTTTTATATATATATATATATATATTCTTCTCTCTCACACACATTCACAGACAAAAGGGCGTAGGGTTCATCTTTTCAATTTTGTTGCTGGACATGGATGGCAACACATCGCCGGCCATTAACAATTGTGGAGAACTGACAGCGCCATTTGATGTCTGGCTAAAAAGATACGCTGTTTTCATATTCCCCCCCTCTCTCTCTCTCTCTCACACACACACACACGCAAAAACACAAACATCTCTGAATATATTCATATTCTCTCAGTACATGCCTAAAAAATTAATTTTAGGATTAGATGGCTAGCTATAAAAAATAAAAAAGAAACTGTCAACTTGGAAGGACAATAATATATATACATATACATATATATATATGGTGAAAACTTATATTTTTAGCTTTATACACTTAATATATTTATTTTTGATTAAATCAAGACATATGAATCTTTTTTAAGTCATTCATTCTATAATAAGTTACTTATTATAGAATGAATAACTTATAAATCAAGACATATTTAACATGTTTATTTTCAATTAATATGTTTATTTACTTAACATATTAAGATTCATTTTTCATGATTTAATTGGATATAAATATATTAAGTATAAGGCTAAATACATATGTAGCAAGATATTAAAAAAAAGGAACTGGCGAGGCAACTATAATATCCACCACTACTTTAAGGTTTATAAATTCTTTCTAATCCATGACGCATGCACACACCTTTGTCCTCTCTGTCTCTACAATGTATATAGTTTATATTATTCACAGTTATCTACTTATTATGGTGTCTAATCATTACTTATTTATCATTTAAAACCATGTATTAACTTCAATAATTAATCTCTGAAAATTAATTAAGCCGGTGAAGAGATCAAAGATTCTGATAATGAGAGCCACCCAGTGAAGGGTTTTTGAGAATTTTTCTTATGCTGATGCAATATATAATTAATTATATGTATGTAGTTTGGGGCAACTTAAAATGAAATTCTAGTTAAATAATGTTTAATATATGTGTTCTTCTTCTTGTAATGTGATATAATGAAAAAGCAGCCGGAGCATGAATATTTTATTTTCAAGATTTGAAAGAACTAATAATCATTGCTTATTTAACATAATATATTATGTCTTAAATTAAACAATTAATAACCCTTATATATGCTAACATAGATTAGTCGAAATTCAATATGACTCTAAGAATTAAACAGAACATTCCCAAGTCTTAAAATAGATATAAAAACAATATTTAAAACAATCAACATTAATTAGTTGGATTAAATGATTTATTGGATATCTTTTCAAGAAAAATCTCCCCTTCAAGTTTTGCATGCCGAAAACCTCATTTATGAGAGAGAACTTCATACATACATCCATACATATAATTTGACCTGACTCGATTTATATCAGACAAGATTTGATGTTTAAGTAGTTAAGCACCTAATCATTTCAATGTAAGGTTGCCAAATTGAAGTCTTACGAATAGGAATTAAAAAAAAAAAAAGAAAACCTACTATTGAGAGAACTTTACATTACAGCCATATATATATGCATGTAGCTCCTGAGAATCTGATTATAATTGATGATAATTAAATTAAAGAAAAAAGAGAAAAGAGAAAGAAAAGAGAGAAAAAGGAAGAAATGTAAGGCTTTAGGGAAGAGGAGAGCCAATGAGAGAGAAAGAAAATGGTCTGATTAGGAAAGCATACATATCACAACATAACATAGTGCGCCTTAGCAGAAGCGACCCAACCCACCAGTGTGTGTGTGATTGTCAGTGTGATTGTGTTTCTCTTTGATTATTATTTGCATTATCATCTCGCATTCTACTTCGTTTTTTCACAAACACACTAGTTAGCTATTAGGACTTCTAGGTTTGATCCCCCTTTCGATCCTAAAACAAGCTTTGTTTCGACTTTCCACTACGTGGCTTGTCTATGTATCTCTCACTAACTCCCTTTTCATCAGACATGCATGTTCATTGCCTTCTGTTTCTAAGGGTTTTTCTTTTTCTTTTTTTTTTAATTTCATATATGTATGCATCT